CGTTGCCTGGTTACCATGAGCTACAATAACAAACAGTGAGCCTAAAGGAAGAGGAGCAGCTTTTGCACCAGCGCTGAACACACATAAGATGTGTTTACTATAGTTGGCTTCTAATGCTTCAAGTGTCATCCTGAGGTGGTATAGAACCTCTGCCCCGCAAAATAAAATAATCTTACGTAACAGTCTCCTTGAACTTTGTGGGTTGCTTTGCTGAAGAGAAGAGTGCAGATTTCAACCACCAGATAATTCCTTTGGGTTGGGAGCTGTGATTGCAGGATGCTAAAGTTGTGTTGGGTTGTGTGTGTGTATGTGTGTTGTGTGTGTGTAACTGAGAGGCTCACACCTGGGTTTGAGGTGCTGCTCACCATGACAGCAGGCAAACAGTGGATTCCACACCTTCCCACCCCCATCTCTTATGCTTCTGGTCCTTCTCAAACAATCTTTTCATCTTCCCCCAACTTACCCTCTTTCACCCTAGTTCTATTTTGGTTCTTATTTGCTGTCATGGGTATGCATTTTATAAGCCACAACCTCAAGGAAGCAAACCTAAGGTATTTAATTACCTCTTTACTAAATTTAATTACCTCTTTAAAGGTCTATCTCCAAAGACAGTCACATTCTGAGGTACCAGGGGTTAGGACTTTAACATGGAAATTAGGTGGAGGGGGAAACAACTCAGCCCATAGCAACTGGGAATTAAAACTCTATTCCACTGGTAGCAAACGCTTGAAGACTGGAAACCCCAGAATTCAGAGGGCATGAATTCATTCACCCTTTAAACACCTTTAGCTGCCAGGTGTTGAGTGAAACGTGGAAGGTGAGGTGACACCTTTGAGCGGTCACAGCACACACACACAGGTGACACAAACCCTGCTTGCACAGCCCTGCCCGTGTTTCCTTTCCCTCCATCAGCCACTGCTTCCGGCTTTGGGCGGAAGGAGCGGGTAAAGGAAGAAGGAAACTTCATTTAGCTGCCAGGACATTCGACTCCTCCTGCACCACAGAGTGGTTTGCTTGTTTGCTGGTTCGTCCTTTTAGCATGTATCAGTCAGAGTTTTCCAGTTAAATTGAACCAACAGGAGATATATAGATAGACATACAGATACAGCTATTAAAAAGTTTATTTTGGCTCATGCGATTGTGGAAAAGTCCCAGGATCTACCACCTGCAGGCCAGAGACCCAGGAAAGCTGGTGGGGCAATTCAGTCTGAGTTCAAAGGCCTGAGAACTAGGGGAGCCAATGATGTAAATCCCAGTCAGGCCAGAAGAGCGATGTCCCAGCTCAGACAGGCCAGCAGGGAGCAAAAGAGGTGAATTCTTCCTCCTCCACCTCTTTGTTCTTTCCAGGCCCTACCTGGATGGTGTGATGCCTGCCCACCCTGGGGAGGGTGGTCTACTTTACCAAGTCCACCAGTTCAAAAGCTTATCTCATCCAGAAACACCTTCACAGACACACCCAGAAATAATGTTTAATCTGCACACCCCTTGGTCCAGTCAAATTGACACATCAAATTAACCATCACGGAGCCTCAATCTCTTAAGATTGAAGTGCCCCAGTGTTGGCATCACAATATCAATGCACACACACACACCGTATGCGGAGAGAGCTGATGGCTATTCTAAAAGTTTATTAAACTGCACAGGCTTATAAAGCAAAGGAGAACAATATGGAAAATGTTTAACTATGGTATGACATTTTATGACTCCCTAGACGCACAGATTGTTTTAAGGTCAGGATCTTAAGATCCTTTGATATTTTTGATAGATTACGCTCGTCATGGAGCCAGTGAGCCTTCCATCTTATCAGGGCAGAACATAATGGAAAATAGCTGCTTGACAACATTCTTTCTGACTCAGGCGGCTGCGCCTGTCTTAGGTTGCCCCCCTCTGGGGAGTCTGACCCGTCATTGGCTAACCAGCCTTCTCACCTCTGAGTCTGCAGCCTTTTATAACTTGTTTCCCATTCCAGCCCAAGGCTCATTCCTTTGTTCACACAATCGGGGGCTGCAGCCCAGGGCTCCCTTTAGGGTTTGTCCACTCATTCTTCTGGTGATCTCATCTAGCCTCATGGCTTTAAACTCCATCTCCAAGCTGATGACCTCCCCAAATTTACATCTCCAGCCCAGACTACCCCTGGACTCCAGACTCATATATTCCTTTGCCCACTTGACACCTTAATGTAAATGTCTATGAGGGCATATAAGCCAACAGAAATGGAATTTTTGAGTTTTCCTATCCCTCCCTCACTGGACACACCAAATCAACTCATCTTGAGGCTGATGGGAAGTCCAGCCCTCCCGCTGCTCAGGCCAAAAATCTTGAGGTCACCCTTTACTCCTTTCTTTCATAACTCCTCATCCAATCCACTGGAAACTTTTGTTGGTTCCACCTTCAAATACCTATATTCAGAATCTGACCACATTTCTCACCATCCCAGCTGCTACCTGCCCAAATGATCATCGTCTTTTTCCTAGATGACTGCAGTGGCCTCTGAAGAGGATGCGGTTCCCTCCCCTCACACAGCCTCTTCTCACCCAGCAGCCAGAGCGCACTTCTCCTTTTCTGAAAACACTCCACGCCTTCCCAGATCATTCACCTTCTTTACAAAGCCCCACGTGACCTCTCGCCTTCCCCCACCTGTTGGGACTTCACCTTCTAATGGCCCCTGACTCACTCTACCTCAGCCATGCCCCACTGGTCTCCTTACCCTCCTTTGGATATACCAACCACACTGTTTTCTCAAGGCCTTTGCACTCACTCTTCCCTCTGCCCCTGATGCCCCCCACACTCAACTCCTTTGCTATATTCAAAGTCTACTCAAACATCATCACCTTTCTAATGTCGCCTACCCAGACCACCCTATTTACAGTTGCAGCTGACCTGCTGCTTCCTCCGCCTCCTGTAATCTTCCTTACCCTGTAACACTTCTTTTCCCTTACATTTATCATCTCCTGACCCATGCTAGAATTCACTGTTTTTAAATTGTATGTACTTTTTGTCAGTCTTCCCCAAACTAGACTGCAAACTCCATGCGGGGAAGGGGTTGATTACTTTGCTCAGTAACATGTCCCTAGAACAATGCCCAGCTCGCACAGTTGGAACTGAACATTTGTTTTGAACAAATGAATGCACAGAAAAAAACACCCCGGAACTTGCTAAGAAACATCTGGAAATAAAACTACCACAAGGCATCGTCCTTCCTGCCATTTCCCATCCTAGATTCTATTCTTAACTGTCTGTGTGACCTTAGACAAGTCACTCACCCTCCGTTCCAGCACTAATAGAACCTTCTGACAGTCGTGTTCTGTATCTGCGACATCCAACATGGGAGCCACCAGTCTCAGGTAGCTACTGAGCACCGCAAACGTGGCTAGTGCGAGGAACAGAATTTTATATTTCGTTTAAGTTTGATGAATTTAAGTTTAGCCACAGGTGGCTACCCTATTGGACAGTGCAGGTTTTTTCCTTATCTGTCTGAGGATGAGATTGTGTGTGGGTTGAGCCCCCCGCTGGCAGTGACAGGCGCGCCAGGCAAGCTCCCCCTGCCCCCTGCTGCTGTCGCCGACAAGTAAGGAGCCTGACTTCCGCATCCACAGAACAGCCCGCTGACTCTGCGGGCAGGCGGACCTGAGCGCTCTTAGAAAGGCAGGCTTGGAGAGAGAAGGCCCGCACCATGAGGACTCTATGAAGAAGTGAACGCAGTAAAAGATGGCCCTGTTGCAAGGCAGGCCACCCCGAAACGTGCCTGAATGACAAATGGATTATCTTGAATTAAAGTTACTTAAAAAACAACCCATGCAAGAGGCACACTCTGACCCTCCTTTCTGTCTCTCTGAGAGCAGGAAGCCAATCTCTCACGGGAAAGACGACCTCCCTGCACCTGGAGGCAGAAGGACTCCCTTCATGGCCGGAGACAAGGCATCCAGGCCGAGAAACCTGTATAAACAAACCTTGTTACTTTTTTCTTTTACTACCCTAAGCCCAAACTCTGTTTAGATTGTTTATTAACTGAGCACCCAAAACCTAAGTTTCTTTGTCTTGTCAATTCCTCACAAATGTATTGTTTGTCTAAAAAGCAGAAAAGTTGCCTGCTTTGGCTACTTCTTATGTCCTATTTCCATGAGACCTCTGTGTGCATGAATTAAAAGCTGTTTCTTTTTCTCCTGTTAATCTGTCTTGTGTCAGTTTTATTGTTAGTCCAAGCCACGAGAATTCAAGAGGGGTAGAGTGGGAAATTTTCCCCTCCCTGACAGCACCTAAGGACATTTCCCAGATGCGGATTTGAATGTTCACATTTTTGATGCTTTCAAACTCTTTGGAAGAGCCCGGGGTGGGGGCGGTCCTTGAAGGAGCTTTGGGGAATCCTGACCTGGGGATGGGAGCAGCATACTTCTCCTCCCTAACTAGGTCACTCTGCTCTTGGCTGCTTTTCAGGTTGTTTCTTCTGTTACAGAGTTTGAAATTCACTTAAATCTCCAAGAAGCAAACTTTGAAAATGTAGTTCATAAATGTAGATGCAGTCAGTCACCAGGACAAGAGGTGGGAGACAGCCCAGTCACCCCACCCCAAAAGGCCATAAACTGTCGTGTTGCAGGCGGAGTTTTGAAAACCCCAACACCGCAGGGTTCTCTGGAGCTCAGATCTCTTAAAGTCAGAGGCCTGGATTTTCCACTCATCTGGATTTAGTAACAAGCATTGAGGCCTGATAATTTTTTTTTTAATTCAAATACGTCTGACTACCGTAACTGTTCCTCAGCGTGGCATAAATTACAGACCAAAATACAGACATCGACCAGAAACTTGGCTTGAGAAACCAAAGATTCCTCTAAGTGCATTAGTAAGGATTAACCAGGCTCCACAGTGACAGTAGGAGGCGAAAAATAGGAAAGGAAAAACAGATTTTTCCAAGACAGTCTTCAAAGACAATCCGAAGACTTGATGGAAACTTTTCTGGAGTTTCCTGTCAAAGTCCACTTCAAGATGACAGATGTTTCAGGTGCTTAGGAGATGCTGGGGTCCTCAGCCGGAGAGGGAGGAGGGGCTGGGGGTACTTCGGGGCTGGCTGCACTAGGAGGAGGGGGGACGGGTTCCGGATCCACATCTGAGAGTATCTCCCCGGCCTCATCACTTGTTGGGGTTAATATCTCTTCTCTGGGAGGAAAGACACACGGACATCATTTAAATAAAGATGGGACTTTTTTTAAAAGAAGAAAAAAGAACCCTCAGATCCCAGCACGTACAGGGAACACATTGGAGGACATCCTGATTCATCTACGCACGTCTACAGAGCTCTCAGCTGGCAAAAATGTTTAGGTACATTCTATTTACACTTTAATCATGTGTCAGCTCTTCTCAGAGAGAACTTAACCGTCCCCACTGGTCCCGATGTGGCTGGGGTCCACCCCTGCCAGCCAGCTCTCTGTGCTTTCAGCCCAGGGCAGGCTCTCTCTCAAAGTTCTATTTGCAGCTCAGCTATTCTCTGGCCGGTTCAGCCTAGGCTCACTTCACCTCTCCCTTCTGCCTAGTCCCCACCCCGCCCAGCCTAATCTCCTCCCCTCCTGCTGGAATGCATCAGGCATCTCCATCCTATTCAGCGCTGGGCAAGCCCTGCCTTCAATGGAAAGGACTAGCCTGTCAAGTGATTACAGATTCAGATTTAACTGTTCCCTGAACACCTACGATGTTTCAGGGACTCAAATTAACTAGAAACTAATTACATTCAGATTCTCAACCACAGGTCACAGTAAGTTTTGCAGCTGAGGAAATGGAGAAAGAAGGTGATTTACCCAGGACTTGTGGCCAATAAAGTACAGAACTGGAATCAAAACTCAGATCTCCTGATCACAAGTTCACTGCCACATCTCCCAGTCACAGCAGATCCCTAATTTTGCTAAGGGGGTGGCGGGAGGGTAATAAGGATGGGGTAACAGAGAGGGAGGCTAGGAGAGGCCCCACAATTGTGGAATCTCTTCCTTCTTGAGTGGATGTTAGAGCATATAGGGACCATTTTCACAATGTAACGGTGGTATCAGATTTGCCTTGTAGCCCTGAGTGAAGGTTTAACCCCTCCACACCTATGTTAACTAGGAAATTGTACATCATTTTTTTTTTAAAAATCAGTTCACTTGTATCTTACATCCCAATAAACTCTAAGGTCTCAAGAATCATTGTGAACAATACTGGATGGAGGTCCCTCTTTCAAATCAATTTTTATTTTTTGGCCACCTTATCAGGTTTAATAAAATCATTATTTTTAAGCTCATTTTATACCCACAGAACTCAAACCAAAAGCATCAGCTCTGCCCACTGTTGTTCTTTACGAATATTTTCACTGTTAGAATTATTTCAACCCAGGTTTCTTGGCAGAAATCCGTCAGGTCACCGGTGTCTACTGAGGGTCAGCTTCGTTTCATAAGACTAGACAGTAACTTATGAAGTCCACTTAGCCACACCGACAAGCTGCAGCATGTGAGTGAAGCAGCCCTCGCTGACTTCCGCCAGCTTTGTAGCTCCCGTCCTTCCACCAGGAAAGCCTCAGAATCTACATGCAGCCTCCTGACACACAGGGAAGGAGCAGACATCAATTTCAATAAAGCTCAGTTTTAATATGAATCGGAGTCCTGATGTTTTCTTCACACCTTTATATATGGGATGTCTTGGGCACCCGGCTGGATCTGGGGACCTCAGACCAGGGAGAGGACTGGACAGCCCACAGTGGCCATTGCCGGCTTCCCAAATTTAGAAAATGAAAATACAGGGTGCCCAGTTACACTTAAACTTCAGATAAACAACTATTTTTTTTCACTATATCATAAGTATTGCACAGACATACTGAAGCCCAGAACACATCTAATAGTCAAATTTAACTAGACATCCTGTGTTTTACCCACTGACCCTACCATCAGGGGAAGGTGTCAGGCAGTGGATCCATTTGAGAACGCCAATGTGCAGCACAGGCAGCTAGCCACTCCAAGGCAGGCAAACCCTCCCCTCTGGGCCAGACGATCTATTAAGGCCTCCTCCTTCTAAGGGCGCACTAGCACAGTCCTGGGCACCAGGCATGTGGTGGTGAAGGAGAGAAACAGGCCTTGCCGGCAGGGAGCTTACAGCCTCACTGGGAACGAGGACAAGCTTCAGGGAGTCCATGCTGTCCCCAGACTTTGCAAAGTCATGCATTTATATCCGGGGTGGGGTCACACCATAACTTCCACCTGATTTTCAAAGTGATCCCCAAGCCCCAATTAAGAGCCACGGATCTGAAGTTCATCCCAGCATCCTGATCATTACTTCCTGAAGGACCACGTGACAAAGGTCTGTTTCCCACAGTAAGTGATGAAGTGTTTTCTTATCCACAGATCTGCCTCGTGGAAACAGACAAAAATATTGACATAAAACGCCACGTCTGGGGCAGTTTCAGGTGCTTCACGAGGATCAGCATTTATGCACCATTCCCGCCCCTCCAGAGAGCGCGGGAGTACCTGGTGGGCATGGTGACTCTGCGCCTGGTCACCTCGGAGGCCAGGTCTCCGTAGCGGAAGTTCATGCTGGTGCTTATGAGGCCTTTCTCAGCCATGGCCTTGCACTCAAGATTTAAAGTCACTGCACCTGTGAATCTAAGCACACACACCAGCAAACAGGCTTCAGGGCTCGGAACCGCTCGGCCCGGGTCCAGCGCGGTACGGTTTGCAGAGGACATTCACCGCCGTGTTCTCAGTGCGTCCCCCCTACAGCCCCCCCACACCATCCCCGCGCTCCCCCAGCCCCACCCCGTCGTCATGCGGCAGGTGTTTTCTCATTCAAATCCCTGCTGTGGGGGAGGAGCACGGTCCTCCCCGCCCATTAGATAAAACAGGTAGTGTTACCCCAGGCTTGTGATACAGAAACCAAGGGCAGCTATGGCTCCCCCCAGGAACCGCTGAGGAAACGGAGGTCCAGAGAGGTGAGCTGTCTCTCCCCAGGGTGCACAGCTGGGCCACGTCCCGTGCTGCTAAGGAGTGCCGCCCCTTCGGAGCCCTTCCAGCACGGGGCTGTTTGCTGTCACCCACACACGCAGAGCTCTCTTCCTGGGCTCTTGCCTTTTAAAGAACAGGAAAGGGACAGGGGCAAAGGTGGGGTTGACGAGGTCCTCGCTCGGATAGGCACCTGGCAGAGACACTGCAGGCTTGATGCTCATGAGAGAAACAGCAACAGTGGGAGCAGACGCCATGGGAGGTCCTTTCCCTGTATCTGATAAGCCCAGTGACACTGCAGGGGAAGTTATTATGATTTCCACGGAACCAACAGGGAAACTGAGCAGCAGAGAAATTAGGCAGCTTCCCCAGCAGGCACAGAGCTAGCATCCGAACCTAGGTCTGTCCGGCTTCAAAGGTGCCACCACAGAGCCCGGTCACCCTCCAGTGCTGCCTCGGTGCCGAGCCTTTGGCAAAGGAGTAAGAGCTGCATCTCTGTCCCTGGACACTTGACCACACTCGAGAAGTGACACGGCCGTTCTCAGAATGTGAACTACAATGGCCTGAGCTCACCCAGCTGATCTTCTGGCTGGAAAGGTTTGCTCATAGGAAGAAGCCCAACTCACCTTTAGATCCCAGATCAGCTCAGGTGGTGACCCCTTCCACACCTCAGCTCATGGCCTCCAAAGAAATGCCCTTATGACGACTCTATACCCACACATCAGTTACAACACCTGCTCCGAGCACGAAAAGGCCAAAACCACCATCACCATCACCGCCACCACCTGCCTCCCCCTTTTTATCCTCCTGCACTCAATCTCTCTCAGGAGCTCGAGTTAATGGATTGATTTGAGCCCTGTGAAGGTAGCAGCTGCCACAGATTTTCCCTGCAGAAGTGAGCTGGATGAGAAATCCCCAAAGACCTTGCAGGGAGGAGATGGGTCTAGAATGCAGGGGAAGGGACCTCGGCCCCAGGGGCAATGAGGAAGCACCAACGTAGAGGCTGGAAAGCATGGCATCTTGACCTGTTATCTACTTACCACATCTTAAAAGCTCATTCAAGAGGGGAGGGCGTATCTCAGTGGTAGAGGGCGTGCTTAGCATGCACGAGGTCCTGGGTTCAATCCCTAGTACCCTCTGTTAAAAATAAGCAAATAAACCTCATTTCCTCCCCCCACCAAAAAAACCAAATAAATAAAAATAAAAACTCTTTCATGTCCCATCCTTCCTCCCAGCACCATCATAATCACCAATCCCACTCCTTCCCGATCGCTCACTTCTGCTGAGGTGGCAGGTGCTTTGGCTTTGAAATGAAAGGTGTTGATTGATTTCATGATTCTCCCTTTTGAGCTGGTGACCTTGGGCAAGTAATTTAGCTTCTAGGAGCCTCGGTTTTCCTACCTGTTAGAGTAGTACTCTCATTCTTGTAGGGCAGCAGTGAGGATTGAGAAACTATTTGCAAAAGTCCCTAATTTTACCCCTCCTCCCCTTTTTAGCATTTTTAAGTGTTTAAATATATGCATTTAGCCCAGAAATGAGTATGAACATGTGTATCCTGCCCCTCATATAATACAATGAATGTAAGCCTTTTCCTTATGAACCCAATTATATATTTTTTGAAAGTGGGAGCCTTATTTTTCCCTTCTCCTCTCCCAGGGCTTGGCAGAGTGAGTTCCTAGTAGGAGCCTAATAATTACTTAAATCAAATCAGAATCTGCAATAGCATTGTGTTCCCATCTGTTTCCTTCAGCCTTATGATTACTAAAGTCTAATATAAACAAATTTTCTGTCTTGAGTTTGAATACGTCAGGTCAATTACTGAATGTAAATTCAGGAGGGATGCAGTGACTGCACTGATGTCTTAAGATGGTCTGTTTTGTGTTTGTTGCTGTTTGGGCCCAATGGCTTTGGATGGAGAACAGCCTGAGCTTTTACCTAAGAACCCCTGGGAAGTTTGTAGTCATCCGATACATCTGAACTGATTAACAGCAATACAATCCAGGAAAAAATCACTGCCTCCTACACTGGTCATCCTTTACGATGTGATTATCTCAAACGTGTGTCTCAATCCTGACATCCAGACATGAAGTTTACACTTCAGAGCGGTAAGACCCTGGCAAACCAGCAGCTCGGCAGTAAGAGAGTCTGTGTCTCTTACGTGAACAATAATGAAACCACAGCGGGAGTTAGCCGCTACTTGTGAGACAACACGTGAAAAAGCTGGGGTTCAAAACGTGGTCTACCTGGCACCAAAGTTCACAAACTTAACAGCTACAATTTTCCACTCACAAAACAAAATAAAGCGAGAATGGGGAGGGGGGGGAGATATAGCTCAGTGGTAAAGCAAAGCGCATGCTCAGGATGCACAAGGTCCTGGGTTCAATGCCTAGTACCTCCATTAAAAAAAAAAAGGTTAAAAAAAAAAAAGAAGTAAAATGAGAAACAGCAGGAAAACATACCACCGATACTATCACTAATTTTGCAACAGGGGCACAGAACCTCCTCTGCTGGACGTCTCAGGTGACGGGGGAGCGTTGTGAGGATATGCAGGGCGAAGGAGCGACAGGGATGCTCTTGGGAGAACAGGATGGGCGCCGTACTGGGCCTCACAGGAGGCCCTGAACTGACAGTCAAAGAGGAGGCTCCTCTAGGGACTGTTATCTTGCCATTCCTACAAAAACAAAGGTTCATGGCTCTTGCACTCTACGTTGAATGTTATTCAAATGTCCTCAATCTCTGCAAGATGGGCAAGCCGGGTATAACTTTTACAGGCACGTACGCACAGCTGAGATAAGACAGCAGCAGACTCAGCTTTACGCCTCAGGGCGTGCATCACAGAGGAAGGAAAAGTGCAAGGAAATGTTTTCTTTTGACGACGTGGGAGAAACAACGTGCTAACGCTAGGATGATCAGTTTAACTTTAAGACATCATTGCCTAATTCTTGTTTCATTTCTCAAGCAGAAATTTTATGGCTGAAATTTCTTCAAAGCACCTAAAATAGGATCAGATTAAGATGCTTTTCAAAAATAGGTCCACTGTGGTTAAGTGCAGACTATGGCTAGGAAAGAGACTGGAAAGGGAATGTGAAAACAGTACAGACGCTAAGCTATGAAATACGCTGTGATGGCAGCATGAATCACTGAGGATGTGTCAGATGAGACAGGCCTCATACAGTTAGGTTCTGAGAGTCTACTTTCAGCTTTAAAGCCTGATATATTCCAAACCTACTTTCTACATCTTACCTCTACCCAATAGTATGTTGGAGCTTAACTGTCTGTAACATGTACTGTGAAAACAAGTCAATTAAATGCCTTTTCAAATTATACCCACCTCTCATTCCCCAACTGTACAGCCCTAATCACTCTTCCATCACAAAACAATTTAGTAAGAACAAAAACACACCTTCTTCCCCACTGCTGGAAGCGTTTAAGGGGCAGACAGTGTCCACGTTATGTGACCAAACCTATTGTCAACCACTAACTGCAGCATCTGCTGGGTTGTGTCAGAAGCTGGAGAAGCCAGACACAGAACGTATACGACCCATCCTGTGGAGAAGCACTTGTACACGCATCTTACTCTGTTCTGCCTTTGCTGCCATCTTTCCCCCTGCAGATCTTCATTAGCAAAGGGCCTAAGGGACCGGCGGTCTCAACACAACACAACCGAGCAGCACACACCCCGCGGCTTGTAGATGAGGACAGTGCGAGGCCATACAGGTGGTCAGCTTGTGTCAGCCCCAGAATTCAGGAGGACTGAACTTAAAGACTAGAGTGTGAAAGACAGTGGTGATGGGTGAGTTAGAAAGAAGGCAACGTGTGAAGCAGTGACTACAGCTCTTTGGTACAGCTTTGTGTCCCCAACCTCTCTCCATCACAACTTAAGAGTACATTTTGAGGAAAACCTGAGACTGAAAAGCTTCGATGGCAAGGGTTTATTAGTACTTGAGTATTTTAAATGTGTTTAAGTATCAAACACAGTTTCTATGAGTAAAGAGGGCACATGGGTTGTTAGTGACAGAATTACTAGTTTTCCTAAAGCTGTGTCTGGAAGCCATGTATTCTGGATGCAGGATTTTAGCCAACTGAAATTCCTCAGTACTTCACCAACAGAATAAATGATACAACAAATTCTCCTACAGGCGGCTTGTATGGGTGATAATAGCAATGAATGTGCTAGCAAAAGCATGAAAAATACAAACCTAAGTACTGAGATCCATTTTGGGTCCTCCAATTTCTGGCCAGAGGACTGGTGAGACTGCTTTCCACATCCAGCACTAGGCATCGTCACGAGAGGCTTGTCTCCTCCTCTCCTCGACAGTATGTTTTCCGTGTGATCACGGCCACCCCGAGAACAGGGGCCGTGACTGTTACCCTCTACGGCGACCTTTACCCTGACAGAACAAGCTTTATAGCCCTTGCATGATGTAGTCTTGATCACATTTTTGGTACGTGAAAAACCTTCTTGCTTCAAATTTTAGGAATGGATAAGAAGTTCCAAGATTCATTATTTAGAGAATACTTTATTAGTTTCTGTAATCAAACCCGTGTAGATAAGACCTTACATATATTTAATACAGTGCGTTACCCCTGTACAAATGGAAAAAAGTATGTTGAACATTTCTAGACCAATATGGCTGTTAATTTCTGTACAATGCCAACCCAACACAGTACAACTGGGATACTTTTTCCAAAGTTGACAGCACAGCTAAAGTTTCCAAAAATTCAAATTATATATATATATATGTATATATATATATAGATTTATTTATTTTATTTATATAAAAAGACCAATAGCAGTATGTTATGCGTCAATAGCAGCACAGCCTTTCCAGGTTCTGCAGTCATCTGAACAAAATTACAGAGACATCCAGCACACGCCATCAAAAAAAAAGTAAAAAAACAAAACCCCAGAAAACAGCTAAGTTCTGTTACTGTTGTGGTACCTGGCACCATTTTTTTTTTAATTAGCTTTTCAATCATCATCTGGAAAGAAAACATTCTAGAATAACGTCATTAAAAACAGCTCTGATAAAGCACGGTCACTACTACGTATCATAAAGCAGGTACAAGGTATCTTACATTCACAGAGGTATGATACAGGACTGTCCTACGTCTTTAATACTAGAGGATATAATTAAAAAGGCATTATTCAATATTTGATTCTACTGTTCCAGCAGAGGGCCCAAAGGATGGTTACGACACAGCTCTGGCACAGAGATGCACCTTCTTAGACAGGATTTCCTTTCTTTAGTGGCACAGTTCTAGGTACTCACTGCTCTTCATGAACATCAGCTAAAAACCGTTTGAAAAACA